ATGAATCCACTTCACATCTCACCTTTAGGCCATTCACTAATACAACACTGCATGTATCTCCAAGCTACAAATCGAACTTAATTAGGTCTGAAACTGAGCAATCACATTACAGTGGCTGCCCAACAGCAAAAAAAGTGAAGCCAGGCGAATTAATACTGTCCAAGCTGCAAGCCTTAAGAATTCTCAGTTCACAACTATTCTATTTTTTCAAGTTTTAATAAGTATCAGCATTCAAACATATAATACTGTGTAAGAATCAGTACAGATCCATAAACTAAGATCAGGCAAGCATCAGAGTTCTACAATATAGACTCTGGATCACCACAGGTTCACATGGGAATAGAGATCACAGAATCAAAGAATCAGAATCACAGAATCACTGAGGTTGGAAAGGACCTTCAAGATCATCAAGTCCAACCATTAATCCAGCACCACCATGTTCTCTAAACCATGTCCTGAAGTGCCACATCCACACGTTTTTTAAACACTTCCAGAGATGGCGACTCCACCACCTCCCTGGGCAGCCTGTTCCGATGCCTGACCACTCTCTCGGTGAAGAAATTTTCTCTAATATCCAATCTAAACCTCCCCTGGCGCAACTTGAGGCCATTTCCTCTTGTCCTATCGCTGGTTACTTGGGAGAAGAGGCCAACACCCTCGTCGCCACAACCACCTTTCAGAGAGTTGTAGAGAGCGATAAGGTCTCCCCTCAGCCTCCTCTTCTCCAGACTAAACTACCCCAGTTCCCTCAGACGCTCCTCATAAGACTTGTGCTCCAGCCCCCTCACCAGCTTCGTTGCCCTTCTCTGGACACGCTCCAGCACCTCAACATCCTTCTTGTAGTGAGGGGCCCAAAACTGAACACAGTATTCAAGCTGCAGCCTCACCAGTGCTGAGTACAGGGGCACAATCACTTCCCTACTCCTGCTGGCCACACTAGTGCTGATACAGGCCAGAACACTGTTGGTCATTTATTCAACTTAGTTATACCCGCATCTTCCTTCCATTCTCCAAGAAACAACTGGGACATCAGTGCTGAGAGCTACATTCAAGCCTCATCCCCCAAAAGTTAAGTAGGCCCTCGCAAGTATGAAGCTGAAGCATTGGGGAAGTGGTACACGAGAACTGGAACCATTCCAAAACTGGAAAGGGATCAGTTTCTGAAGATGCAGAAACCAGACCAGCCTTCCTCTTCTGCAAAAAAGAGGGAAGATTTTCTGAATTCCTGTCTGAGAAAACATGCAACTGTGAACCCTCTGCTGCTGTTCACTTCTCCTTGGAGGTCTAGCAGAGAAGGCAAAGTCTTCTTCCTACAAATTCATTTTTTTCCACAGTGATGAAAGAAGGTTTGCAGTCAAAAATCCAATACTTCAGAAGAGTAGAATACTTAGAGCCTGGGGAGCCTTTAAAAAACATCATACCTTTATTCATGCCTCCCACACATATGCCATTTCAGTATGCCCTTCCCTCCACCAGATAGTGCAGGCCAAGGAGCTTTACAGTTGTAAAGAAAGCTGCACCTGGTACCAAGTTTTTGAGCAGCTGCAGTGTGTCACTTGCACACAAGAGCAGTTGTCCCTTAAGCCATGGAGGAAGTTATTTGTTGAACTGGACATTTGATCCTTCAGTTGGACACTACAGGGTGAAACTGTCGGGGGAAATGCACTCATCAGACCTGGCTGGCTTTGAGCCCCTCCCACCAATGAACAACTGCAGCATTTTAAAAGTCTTTCCCTTCACACTCCGCAGGTGGGCTCAGGCAGAGGGCAGAAGTAGCAGTTTGGAACTCATTAGCAGGGGGCTACACCAAGAACCTAACAACAGGTGTCTTTCAATAGCAAGCTGAGACAGGACATCTTACTGTTGTGTTCAAGAGTACCCAAGGTTCTGTCACCCTTCTTTGCTAGCAGACTATTTTCCCACCCCGACACTGGCACTTCCCTTACAGCTCAACTCTAACATAACAGCACTTCCAGAAGAACTCCACAGCGACTTCAGCTGTTCAGCAGTACCATTTCTTCCTCACCAGCTGCCCTGTGTTGGCAGGGAGGCAGAACTATCACTTCAAATCCTCCTTAACAGTGCAAGTTCCAGCGCTGATACTCATCTCCATAGCAGATAGACAGAAACCAGAGTTTGTTCTGGCTCAAGAGCCTTGACAAACATAGGAACTGGAGGAACGCAGCTGTTCAAGGGTAAGCCTTTACTTTGAAGAAACCCTAATGAAGCCAGTGCTACCGGTGGGCACAGCATATAGCTGGATAAACACTGCAGCATGACGAGAGACGTAAGTCTCATCTACAGTTCATGCCAGCTATAGCCTGAAAGATTAAGCAAGGGACCACCTAAGAGTGAGAGAGGTCAGTCAGACAGAACAAGATTAGCATTACAATGCTTAATACCTGCATCATAAGAAGAGGGACTATTTGAAGACTTCAAGCTACTACATGTTGTTCAGGGAAAGTGAAAACCTCACTTACAGGCATATACATCTGCCTGTTCTGTACAGAGCGGATCTGGTCCTCAAGTAAAAATGCAGCAACACTACACCACTATGTCCCAACCATAAGGGCTATAGCTTAAAGAGCTATCAAAGTATGGCACCTCTGTGAAGGAGTCTGAAGAAAACATCTTCTAAGTTCAACCAGGGCAGGACACAGCTGATTTTGACAAGGCACAGACTTTCAACACACTGTTGAAAGCAGTGGACGAGACCGGTATTCTTTTGCGCCTGCATAAGACAGCATTTCCCAACAGCCTGTTCTACCAAACTCACAACCCACCATAGACTGGTCCTGCAGGAGACAGTGGTCCTTGTTAGGCGGCTTAAAAACAGTGACATCAGTCTTAATACAGATGACAAATTCACATTACAACAGTAGATTAATTTTCAAATTCACATTAAGACATTAAGACAGACAGTGTCATCTCTCTTCCATTTTCCTTCTCCATATAGCTCAGGTGGTGAATTTGGCAACCTGGTATCACAAAGTCTGAGCAAGCTTCAAGACCCTTGCCATTAGATCTCAAACTCTCATTTAATCCCCTAGAAGTTGTCCTCTCCCCACCCCTTCAAAGGGTCTGATGCTTATTCCTCAGCCTCCTGCATTCTTCAAACAAATCAAAGGAATCTGGGGAAACTCTCTCAGGAAAACAAAGAGACTGTAGCTACATCCTTGCAGTAAACAAGCTGGTAAGATTTTAGCTTGGGGGAAATTTAGAATTCCACCATAAAAAGCTAGAGTAAGTTTTTACAAGTCAGCTATCCACCTTACAAAGGAAGAGTCAGCATACTGGCCAGTACATAAGAATTAATAAAAATACTAAGTTTATAAACACACCTGCTTCAAAGAACAAATAAGCAAACACAGATTTTACATTAATGCATACACCCAATCAGTAGTGGAAACATACTTACCGCAATACACTTTTTGCTCCCATACATTTGATGTCATATGAGACAGAGTAGATCTCATAGAAGGTCGCCTTGATGTTTAAGCAGCCAATAAAATCCTTCGGGTTCAGCTTGTACAGATCAAATGTGATGTTAGCTACTCCCATTTTCTTCTTTTGTCTCACAGCAACTCCATTTCTTGTCTAATTTAAAAAGAGGGAGAGACAGTTTGTACTGTGAGCCAGGAAACTACAGCAAGACAATTGTTAACAGTGCAGCTCTTTAGAAGCAGCTTGCTTATTCCAGTCTTCAGGCTAGTTCTCGATCAATTCTAAACTATAATTAAAAGCATTAGCACAGCGAAAAGTAAGTCTGTAGCTTACATAATTTTATTCAAGTCCTGACCAGGCTCCTAAAGCTATTCCAGACAGACACAGAAGTTCTAGAGTAACACAGCACCTCCTGATTATTTCTGTTCTGTAATGCAGCTTCTTCAGGGTACACTGAAACCACAGGTAATGCCACTGGACAGTGTTCCTGCTATTTAATTACCCTGGTATGTGCCAGCTGCTAGCCAAGGCAGCACAGGTAGTCCACACTGAAACAAGCCACCAAATTACCAGGATGACATTAGGGCCTTCCATTTAGGAAGGAACACAATACTGATGAGCACTCTTAGAGACAGCTGCAAAGTTGACATCTGTGCAAAGTGAGGTCCTCATTTAAAATCCTGGCTCATAACACCTCTCTTTCTTCCTACTAAAAAAGTAACAGGGAGGGAACCACTACTGATTAGGCCTAGGGTTTAATACTGAGTTTTTAAGAGGAAAAAGCAAAGGAAGAAGAGCATGGAAAACCATCTTCCATCTAAAAATCCACCTCCTTTATTGGAAGCAGCCCTTGTCTGCTTTGGGGCTGGCAGCGATGCTTTCAGGATGGCTTGCTTCAAGAAAAAAGAAAATGGTTGAGAAAACCCATATTTACAGAGACATCTAGTGGATACATGGCATACTCTGCTCAGGGTGAATGACTTGGCAGCTGCCAAGCTGGTTTTTCCAGGCTAAATGAAGCAATAAAGTTATGTAGGACTGGGCCTTTTTGTACTTGTCACCCCAGCCCTCAGACAGTGCCATAGTAAGTCAAACCAAGTTAAACACTGTGGTATATCATTAGCCAGCAATTTTATGCCTGTTTGACTTCAATAGCCTCCGAGCTCTGGCAACAGGGCCCCCATCAACAACAGTTTTGGATGTGTGCAAGTAGCTGGTATGCGTGGTAGCGTCTCTCCCCACTATTAGCGCCCAGAATGTTTGGATAAGGCATGACAGAGCTTGTGCTACACTGCAGATTTGTGAAGCTGCAGCAGTCCTCCTGCTGTCATTCAGCACATCCTGAAGAAGGGCAGCATTTGAACTCATTCTGCTGCCATGCCAGACGGGACATAGGGCAAAGGGGGAAGGAGCAAGGTGAAGTCATACCCTGGCTGCAACTTCTTTTCTGCTCTTGGAGCTCATAGCCCAGATGCCGAAGGCAGTGAGGTGTCTTGGGGAAAAACACACAAGTTGCCCACACTACCACAGGAGACTGAAAAAAACATGATTGGGCCACACATGTACAAACAGAAAAATGGTAGGTCTGCTTACAGCTCATCGGCTAGCTCTGCACCTGGTGGAAGAAATTCTGATGCTAGCTTTCTAGCAACAACCATCTCATGGAAAGACAATTGGAGTTTAACTATCTTATTAACATACATATGACTATTCCCCCACAAAAGCACAAACTAGTCACTGAGTCAATACAATCAGAAGGCTAAAGCTAGCTCATCTCACTAGTTCTTAAAATATCGTGAAGCATATAGAGTGACATTAAGTTTTGATGACAACTTTAATCTTGCAAACAGCTAAACCAGACATTTTTATACCCCGCAGTAAACTATTACTGCATTCACAGGACAAAACTTGTTTTACATTGCTTAATTTGGGCATTTTTTCTCATCTGAAAGCTAACCTTTAAAAGCCATTGTATTTTTAACTTCATGCAGCCAAAGTCCTAATTTTCTTTATGTTCAAAAAGGCTCAAGAACAAGGTTATTTCTGAGGCTCTCCAGAAGTGGGGGATTTCCCCTATAGTTCTTTTCAGTTGTAATGCTTCATTTCAGTTCTTGGCAGATCTTTGCCAACAGTTCTATGTCCAAGCAAGGGACCAAAAAAACCCCAGAGAACTTGATATGTCATCCAGGAAGCCAGGCAGGCTCCACAAGGAGTTGATACCTTGCCTTCTTTAGGGGAAGTTTTCTTCGTCTCCTCTTTCCAACAATTTTAGCAGCCATTCTTCCATCTACTTCTATTCAAGCAAGAGAAAGGCAGTCAACACTTACTTGTGTCCATTTCTGTTCTTTTTCTAGAACCATGAAGTGTGTATTATCATCCAGGGACTTAAAGAACTCTTCTGTGTCCACAACCGTTCCATCTTCCTCCAAAACCAGAGTAACTATTCCAGCAGATATAAGGAAGGCATCTAAAGTCTGCAAAAAACCAGCAGATTTTAGCATTCGAAAAGGGGACCATCATTTCATATTAAAACTTGCTTATCTGTCATATTCTCCTGAACCTCCTCTGTAATGATTTTTAGAAGAACAAGAGTCTGTGGATTGCCTTTCTGGGATACTGTACTTCACTGCAAGTTTCAGTCAGAGTGTGAATGTTCGCTATACCTTGCTGATGAGCTCTTGCAGACTGCTTGCAACAATTCCTTTTCTGCTGCTTCGGGAGGCATTCGACACACGGAAAGGTCGCCCTGCAGGCATGAGAGGAGGGAACAGGGTCTGTTTTGTTACTGCTCCCACAGATGCTCCCATGGATACCAAAGATCTAAGACAAATAAAAATTCAGCGTAGTTATAAAAATAGTCATGTCAAGTACTGTGAGAAGGAGGAGGACTGTTGAGCTCAGTGACATAAGCACATTATACGAGTAATTCACAGGTCACATTAGACTCGCAGAGCTTGCTTTCAAAACTAAATACTACATAGCCCTACAGACATGTTGTCCCTGAAGTTTCTCTTGCCAGTGACATTTGAAAACACTTCTAAAATTAAAAACGTTTCAAGCAGATGTGGGCCATCTCTAGCTCAGCTGATGTCAAGGTCATGATTACAGTGAGGCTGACAGGTTTTAACACTGACTTGGAAAGGCAGCAGCTCTTACTGCATTCAGCCATATAGATCATTCTTTTCACCTTCAAGATAAACGATCAGATGATACAAAAAACTACTTCCAACTAATTCGTTAAGACATGAGTTCACTTTAGGAAGACTGAACGTATTATCCATATTCAAGACACTTAGCATCAGAATGCAAGTGGAACTTTTTGATACAGTTATGCTTGACTTCCAAACAGCCGAGGTGTTTATCTTGTAAACAGTATCTACAGTCTATAAAACTTAATCTACTTTTTAAAATGACAAAACTTGTTTGTACCCTAATGTATCAAAAGAAGTCAAATGAAATTAAAATTAAGATTAAATTACAGAAATTGATGGTGTTGGACCGGGCTGACAGAGAAGCTAGAAGAATTCAAACACTTCTAGAAGGAGGTTTTACATTTTCCTGGGCAACCACATGTTTTAATAGTGACTGTTTAGGTTCCCTTTGGAAAACCAAGCACATACAACTCATAACTGCCTACTCCTGCACCAAGGTACAGACCCATTCCCATCTCCATCTAATGACAAGTTTTTGCTGCCAAATTACATTGGTTAATTCAATGGCCAGCCAGTCTGCCAAAAAATCACCCTCTGCATGACACCTGGAAAGGCTTGAACTCCAACAGGACTTTTAAAAGGGAGACAATATTTTGTGTCTCAGATTCCTGGACTTTACCCCTTGTATACCATTTGCTCCTTAATACTGAATTACACAGGGGTGGGAAAGGGATGTATCTCCATTTTGCTCTCCCACATACTGTAAAAGGTCAGCTTTATGTAGGAAAATCTGCTCTCAGACACCTTCAC